CCCCCCCCCCTCACGACAGAAGCAGTAGCATTCACTGCAGCAACTGGAGACACGCTCATCCAAAAGAAAGGCAGGACCAAAACTCGATGTTGAAAGGACGGACGGCATCACAGCCTCCAGAACCGATGCACCACACGGGTATTATGCCTGGCGCCCCTGAACGTCGTGCGCCCTATTGGTTGGTTGTGAGCAAAGCGAGTGTAGCCAAAACCAGCCACACACAAAGTGTAAACAGGCCGGCAGCTGCACACGAAACGACTTGAAAGGAAAAAAAAAAAAGGACCGGCCGCGTCAACCCAAGCGGCCCACGAGACCAACAAGAGAATCAGGAACACCCCCCCACCACCACCCCCTCCTCTCAGCAGGACGTCCGAAGGCGTCCGCGCCGAGTAAAAACATATCACAACCACAATCTCGTAAGCGAGAGCTGCGGTTTTTAAAGCAGAATGTTCGATTTAATCATTTGGTTTCAACCCTGCCCTACTTGCAACGCCAAAACAAGCACAAGAACGACAGACGGACCCTGCTGCTCCCGGGATGCGGCACGACAAAAAAAGAAAAACGCCCGCGGAAATCTCGCCCCATATACACGCGTGTACTGGCTTCTCGGCCCTACCCCGCACACCCCCGTTCACGCCGAGCGGGTCGTCAGGTGGACGCGATTTCCCGAGCACCAGCCTTTCGACATGTATTTCTGCGTCGCGGTTGCAGAAGCCTCTTTTACTACACGACGATTCAAGAAGGAACCATGCATAGACACCAAAAGACCCACAACTTACCAGGACAAACTAATGTTCAACGGACCACAACGATAGCCGAACGCTTCTTTTGCCTTTAGATCAAAGCTCTTGGGTTGATGAGAAAAAGCCACAGTTGACTACGCAACAAACAACACAGGGCGGCGTGCTTGTCTTGCAGATGCTCCTGTGTTCCCGGCTAAAAAAAAAATCAAAAACATTCGACAAAAATGAACACAGAAACAGGAGTGAATAGAGCACAACGACAACCCCCAGGGGCGCACGGAAGCAGCCTAATTCCAGATTGCTTGGTGGTGAGAGATCTATATACCCTTACTCTCCTCGTTTTGGCCCCCAGTATCGTTGGACACACTCTGCGCCTCCCTCCCTCTCTCTGTGCGAACCTGCACAAGTTCCAGACAGCCCCCCCGGCCTTTGGGGTCACGGCCAGAAAGAGCTATTCAATCAACTCTGCTAACGATCAAATCAACCACAACAAATAGTCGTTGGACGTACGCGGCGGCGGATGGCGAATAGAAAAGAGAGGGTTTCGCAAGCCAAAACTTCTTCCCCGCCTGATCGTCTCGAACCACCCTTGCGGGGGCCCTTCCCCTCCTGTACCTCAGTGTGGGGGGTCCCTACTTCTCTACAGCTCGCGGCCGCTATTCCGAGCCGTATGATCAAGCGGCATACAATGGAGCGACGGAATACGTGAGGGCAAGCAGTTCCCAGAGAATAAAAAGGCTGGAACAAAGCCAAAGAACGGTCGCGTGCAAAACTCGGCAACAGGCTAGCAGCACGAGGCTGTACAGACCGGGCTTCGCGGCCAGAAGGCCAATCACTTCCTCATGCACGCGCCCCTGTCGACCGATTTTCAGGCTGCAATCCGTCCCCTCCTGAACCCCAACGCACGCTCCATTGCCCTATAGCAGCCGCCCCCTCCACCCCCGTGGCCTATCTCCCTCAACCCGGTTACGCCGTCGGTGTCAAGTAGTCGCTCCCCCCCCGCCCCTCCCTCCCTCCTGTGCTAATCCCTTGCTGTGGTTGTCGCTACCGTTGTTGGCGGCAGGATTGTTGTGGGATGACTTTAGACCGGGGTCCCCGGGGCCATGCTGTCAGTGCCGGGCTCGTCCTGCCACTCGCCGTCATCGTTGCTCGAGGCGGTTCCAGGGGTGTTCATCACCGTCGTGCGGTAACGGCCCAGCACGAACGAAAAGACGCCCTGTTCGGTCGTAGGTAGGGAGGGGGGTAGGCAGGGTAACAAAAAAGAGGGGATAAGAACATATTTCATATTTCCGCCAAAAAGCAAGCAAGGTTTACCGCTGACGCGTACGCTTATTTTGTGGCGACCGCAGCATGTACGCTTTGAAGAATTCCACGTGGTCTGCAAGAGATGGAAAGAACTAAACTCGCAAAAATGGAAACTGACACCCTCTTCCGCCGCCCGCAGCATGCTCTCCCCAACACAACTGCCATACAACGATGCCATCAGCAACCGAACTATACCTACCACCACATTATCACCACCAAAACCAAAACCAATCTCATTCATGACCCACCAACACTGCTCCCCTCACCGCCAACAGCAGCACACACACCACCCGACACCGGCGCTACTCACGTAGAGGAGGAAGAGGAAGAAAGAGAACACCGCCATGGTACGGTCTCCCGTTGCCAAGCCGGGCTCGTCCGCGTACTCGGCGAGGGCGAGGAACACCGCGAACAGCACAAACATGAACTGAGACATCATGGTCGTCATGCCCAGCAGCGTCCCCACGGCCAACGGGGTGTGGTACTGCAACGTAGTGTTACAAAAAAAGCAGCATCGAGGTTAGGTGTGAATGGCGTTTGGACGAACGATGGAGGGGACACGGTGGGTGTATGGGAATATTCACCACACGAAAGATAAGCTCGTCTGCACTAAGACAACGAGTCGCGAAAGGAATCACATGCCTCGTAGATCGTCCCTCGACACGGCGCCAACAGCAGCACAGCGACTCCCCCAAAAAGCAAAACCCGCGGCATGTTCGGGAGCACAAAAAAAGCGCAAGAGACGTGGGCCTCTCTCGAGAGGGGGCCACCGAACAAAACGCACGCATGTGCACGGACGCAGTTTATATCTCGCGCAAAACTTCCGGCGTCTGTTAATTGGTCAGACGGTTCAGCGCGGCAGATGTTTACTTACAAGCAACATACATCAACGCACACCGAAATTCCAATGCAAACAGCAGTGAACAACTACAAAACTATCAAAAACACACCTTCTTGAGGATGACTGTCCCCGCCACGGACACCCCAAGCACCATGAACAGCGTCCACACGGACGCGAAAGACGCCGCGTGCGAGCCATTCGCGGAGGAGTCGTTCGTGCTAGCGTTGATCAACGCCACCAAGACGTCAACGGCTGCGAAAATCTGGTGTTTAAAGCGCCGGGGGGGGAGGGGGAAGGGGAGGGGTAGAGATGGCGGAGGTCGTGAGGAGGGCGAAGGGGGGGGCACACGCGCGTATTAAGGCGTTACGAGAGAGCAGCCGCCTCAACTCGAGGCGCCAAGCAGGATGGAATTAACAGGGTAAAACAGGCTCTCGTCAATGATAGTGCACATGGCAGGCAGCACACGACAGCGGCAACATAGAAGGCGTCGAACGTAACATGAAACCTTCTTTGCGACGAGTACGTACCGCCAACAGCAACGTTCGCGGACCTTAGAGGAAAAACATATGAATAATAATAATCTGTCACCTAGGAATACCCACCCACCCGCACACCCTCCCTCAACGATCGGCAAGAATAACGTTGATCATGCTCACAAAGGCCTTTGGGACAACGTCCACTCCCAACATCTTAGCGCAAAGCTGGGAAGCAAAGCTGGTCTATGCAGGTTTCTCTCGTTTGTTCGCGCTTGCCAGCACAAGATCCCACGAGCAAGGTCAGTGGGACAACCAACGTCGACGCTTCAACTCTCACCGCCAATTCAGAAGAGGGACGCGAAGCCTCGCAGGTATCTTCCCTCACTCACCAGCACAAGATACCACGAGTAGGAGACGACCTTGGAGGGGTTCTTGTCTGCGTGCTCCATCGCAGACCGGATGCTGTCCATGGGATCTTGAGACTGCATCGTGGAAAATAACGCGATAACTCCCCCGTCTCCTTGGTGCTGGACGCTCGCTCGCTAGCCGGTGTGGACTTTAACTGTTGTAGCATTGCGCGCCGTTGTTGATGTCGAGACCGCAAACCCCACAAGGAAACGAACAGGAGCGACAGGACGTGTAAAATTTGTGTCGTGCGACGGGCGAGAGTCAGTAAAGGTCGTCTGCAATAATTGATATTCTCGACACCGACAATGAGGAGATACCTGAAACGCCATTACATGCATGTGGGTATGTGTTCGTCCTTTTTATTCTGGCGCCTGTCTACACACCTCTCGGTGACATGCTTGACGTATGTATGAGCCGCGGTCACGCACGTATTGGAAATATCAATAATGCCTGGTTCCATCTGGGCAAGACAGAGAGAGCAAAGGGTAATTGTAGTTCATACTCTAGTCTTCGCCGCATTCTGGACGAATAAGAAAATGCTTCTACCATCACATGTAGACGAGATATTTGTAAGCGAATTTATCTAGCGCATCCAGCCTTCGGCAGGTGTCGTGGTGTCATGACAGCAAACTACATGGCGACTTCCACACATGGTTGCAATACCCCCCCCTGTCAGTACACCAGCCGCAGCGCACTTACAAACAGCTCTTCTCTTGAATCTTATCGATCCCGAATTTGGACGGACGGAAAGAGCTCTACCGGGAACGATCCGAAAACTCGGGTACAAAAACACATTACCATGACCCCGTAGTAGGTCTAACGTAGGGAGGAAGCCGAACATCTGCAGAAGCGTGCCCTGCACACCAACCCCATCGAAAGAAAAACCAACAGCTGGGAGCCGTAGAGACAGGAGGGTGGTTCGGTCATGCTGGTAAAATAAAAAAATTAAAAAAATTGTTTTGGAACGGCTGTTCTTTTGTGCAGTTTTCGAACACCAAATAACGTACGGCGAGCGTTTCGCCGCTGCAAAGAAGGCGTGTGGGCCTTGGAACGTTCAACCCCAAGGATGAAAACGGTCGTTGCGCCTGCAAGGGCGTGCTAGGTTGGGGCAAAGTCCCTTCGGGCTGCCACACGTTCACCAACACGAAACCCACAAATTTCGTTGCCAGCGAGACCTTCCGACAAGTTCCAACAGAAGACTTTGACTTTGCAAACAAGACAGCCGGCAGCGATCCGTGTGCGACTGTCGCAACCTGGTAGCGTTCGAGGCTTGCACGCACCTGGCAACGAAAAGGAGAAGAAACCGCGCAGGAGACGAGTAGAGGCCGGTGCTTGCGCTGTGTGTGTGTACACAGACAGGCAGACGGGAGCTGAGCTTGCGCGCCAAAGGAGGGGCTTCGTGGATGTACAACACCCCCCTCCGCGAACCACCTCGCACTGGCCGTTCAGAACCGACCCACTCCCCTTGCGTCTCCTTCTTGGCTTGCAAGTGTGCCTTGCACTGCTGTTCACTGCTGTTGAGAATGAACGAAGGCTTGAATGGCGGCGATCCCGCGGATGACTTCGAGTTGTTCTGGGGCATGCCGCGGTCAGGTGGGGGAGATGGCGGCAGCAGCGGCAGCGGCAACAATCATGAGAGTCGCGGGGGCGGCGGCCTCACCGACGTCACCGGCGGCGGCGCAGGGTTGATGTCGTCTCCGACCCTCCGCGGCAGCAGCAGCCGTGCCGGCAACCTGAACACGGCGACGCCGACGCTCATGGGAAACCTCTGGTCGCACAGCAGCATGCCGCCAGAGGCGTACGGTCACTCTCTGCACGTGCACGCCAGCCAGGCCGAGGGTCCAGCCCCTACTGCGGCCGGCCTAAACGCCGACCTACACGGGGGCTCACCGCCGCCGCCTGCGAGCTCCCGGCGGCCGGTCTGGCTGCCGCCCCCCAACCAGCACCACCAACACTCGGCGGGAAGAGGAGACGGCATGCATGTTAGCAGCAGGCAATGCCAGCAGCACCTTCCCGCTACTAGCCCTCCGCGGCAACCGGCACGCCCAACTGCTGTGACAGATGCAAGGGGGCGCGGTAGAAACGGCGGCGAGACTGGCGTTAGCGGCAGTATCGTCGAGTACAAGCTGGAGGAGCTCGCGGCGGTGATCACCGCGTCCGTGGTGGGCAAGCTCGAGGTCGACGTTAGGGAAGCGCTGTGGGCAGGCAACCAGCAACAACAGCATTTGCCAGTTCCTCCTCCTCCTCCTACTGCCGCTGCTGCGGTTCCTAGCCACGAGGACGACCAGAGACGAGTGGCGGCGGCAGTGGAGGCGACGGTGGCACCTCTACGCTCTAGACTCGCGGCTCTCGAGGTAGAGATAACTCGGCTGTCGGCCGCAAGCAGGAGCGGCAGCGGCGGCAGCGGAGATGGCGGTCGTGATACCCCTAAAGGGGTCCGTGGTAAAAGCAGCGGTAGCGGTGGGGGCGTGAAGGGCGGGGTGAGTGGAAACGCTGCGGCAGAGCCAATCGCTGCCCTCACCGCGCTCGCTCAGCGCACGGGGACCCTCGAGGGCAGGCACAAGCAGCTCCAGGCTAAGGTCGCCCTGCTGGACAACTATTTCGGTCCCAAGGCGTCGGACTGGGCCCAGACCATCAAGGCGTTTCTTCAAGAGCGCGTGTCGGAGCCAGCCGCCGGGGTGGCACGAAGAGCAGCGGTCACGGTCGGAACCCGCGGCAAGGGAGGAAAGCGAGGCTTGGGTATCGACGCGCCGGCGTTTGTCCCTCAATCAGCAGCGCAAAGAAGCACTGCTGCAGTGTGCGCCAGCGCTAGTAGCGGCCCCGGCCAGGGGGCAGCAAGAGCACCGCCGCCAGCACCAGCACCCTCCGTTGATGTCGAAGGCGCAAAGCACGAAGAAAGCGCGCCCGAAGTCGTAGGGGCGGCGCAGGGAGACTCTACCGCCGCTGCCGAGTCAACGGCAGCGAAAGGAGCGGCGACATCGACGGCGACGGCGGCAGCGGTAGGGAAACTTCACCACTGCGCGGGGTGCGCGGAGACGCAGGAAAGCTGCAGCCGGCTCGAGAAACGTGTGGCAGAGTCGGAGCGAGCGCTGTCCTCGCTGCAGAGCCAGGCGGCGGCGGCGGCGACGGAGGCTACCGCTGCATTGGAAAGCAGGAGAACCGCGGCTGCAGCGGCCACGGCGGCCGTAGAAAAGGCAGCGTCATTGTATCAAAAGGCGGCGGCTACGGCTGCGGCGGGGGGAGGAGGGAACTGGGCATCGAAGACGTCCGTGGAGAAGCTCGCTGCCGCGTTGAGGCAGCTGGCGGCGCGGACCAAGGACGGGGAGGACGCGCTGGCCCTTGTGGACCACGGCCTCAGGGGTGTCCGAGAAGAGGTGCGGTGTCGGTGACCTACCCGTAGTTGAGAATAGTTCGTCAGAGGCTTAAAATTTCATGAAAACTAAGGTAGGAAACACAGCTCAACGGTGGACCCTCGACTAAAACTCCTTGTAAGGCCATTCCTTACGGTGCCTTTCTTTTAGATCTTTTTCCCCCCCGAAGGGACGACCCAACAAGGGATCCACAAAACGATGACCCCTTCCACCGCTTTGGTTTTTCGGCGATATATCCGCACAGAGTGAAGCAGCAGCAACGGTAGAGCTGTCCCTCGCGAGCTGTGGGTATGATTCCTCTTGTGTGGCGGCTGATAGACACCACGGCGCGATAGGAGGCACGGAAACTGAGGTGGCGAGAGTCAACAGCACGCTGAAAAAATGTCCACCGCTCCAGCCAACTCAAGCAACCAGCTTTTTTTGCTCTTTTGCCCGTGTCGCAACTTTGGTTCACCGTTTCTCCTTCGCCACCCACTAAAGCAACAGCGACGACAAAGGTATGCGCCACAAGCTGTGTGTATGGTCCGTCTTGTGTGGTGGCTGATACAGACCAGCAGGCTATAGGGCGCTCAGAGATTGTGAGCGCGAGAGTAGCGGACAAGCGAGAAAAATGACCCGCTGCATCTTCAAGTAGCTTTTTTTGCTCCTTTGCCCGTGTCGTAACTTTGGTTCACTGGTACTTCCTCGCCACCCACTCAATCAACAGCGATGACAAAGGTATGCGTCACGAGCTGTGCGTATGGTTCGTCTTGTGTGATGGCTAATTCAGACCAGGAGGCTGTAGGACGTCCAAAAGTTGGGTTCGCAAGGTTGACAGTACACAAAAATGACCCACCGCTGCTGCGTCCAGACTCGCTTGGCTTGTCTGCCGCTTGTTTGCCGCACACATCGGCTTGTCGTCCACCTGGTCCAGCCGAATGAAAAAATAACGGCTACCGCCGGTGCTACCGACTCCCTACCAGTCACATGGCACAACTCGTGTGACCACCGTTAGGGTTTGCGGCGATCAACCGTCGAGAGATTCAAGTTTGTAGATAGGAGTCATGCGGTTGTGGCCAAAAAAATAACATTGTTCTGACAGCCCCGACATATCCAAAACTGCCCCAGAAAAAGACAGGATGGGCTGTCCAAAACGGGTTGTCTTGTTTGTTGGCATTTTTTCCCTGAAAAAAGTCACCGTAAGAAGGGGTCCTGTGGCCAGTTGTCTTTTTTTGAGAAGGAAAAAAGAAAAGACAGCTCCACAAAAGAACCGAAATAAATGGCCTAACAACCTGTGCTCGGCAGTGGAGATGGAACAAGAAACTCATCCTCCCGACCCGATTTTCACGATTCTTGTCTCGAGGCCCGTTCTGTATGGCAGCTACCAGTGCAGTTGTTCGCTGTTGTTGTTGTTGTTGTTGTTGTTTTGTCGGAGTTTCCCCTTGCAAGCGTCTGTCTCCCTATCGTGTACCCGTTCCTTCTGCAGGGGTATTCCGGTTGCTAGGTGGGTATGGCTGTTGTATGCATAGCAAGGGGCATTCGGTGACAAAGAGGCCATTGAAATCCTATCGCTATATCGCAAGGAATGCGCGGTAAAGGTCGAATCAATGCGTTTCACAAGCAACACATGAGTACCCTCTCCCCCCCCCTCGCACACATTTCCCCCCCTTCCTTGGCTTCTCTCGGCACGTTGCACAGATGGCGCCGTTATCCCGGTCTGTGTTGACACTGAAGCGGCTGGTGGAATCCCAACTGAGAGAGAAAGACCAGGCGGCGGAACTCCTCAAGGGTTACGTCACCACTATAACGAGGGAGGTGAGTTTGACCTCCCTTCGCCCCATGTGTATTCATTGCCCTTCTTTTATGTTTTGTGGGAGGACGCCCTCTGTCTCTCTCGTCTCGTGCTGCCCCTAACCTGAATCGGCCAGACCAGCTGCCACTGGTACAAGGCAAGATTCAGCGCGAATGATTCCTCCTCGCGCGGTGTCCACGCAACAGCATGTAGAGGGAGAGCGAGCGCCGAGGGACATTCCCGAGGGCCGGTCCCCACCACAGGGCATGTCAAACTGTTACACGTACTGCTCGTTCTTGTACTCATTCGCCATCTCACCAATAACCCCTGCGTTTGTTTTTTTGCCATGCGCGCATCGCTATAAAAATTCAAAAGGTGGCTGCGATTTCTCGGCAGCACATCGCAGGGCTCGTGGGCCCCGGGAGGTTCGCCGCCGGTGCCGCGAACAGCAACAACCACGGCGGCGGGTTCAACGGCGACGGTCGAGTCGAGCCCGCTGCTGCAGCTGCTAACACCATTCCTGCTGTAACCATCACCCCCGTTGCCACTACGCCGGCACCACCGCTGGTCGTTGATTCGTCTTCCGCTGCTGCGGCCGGCGGCGTCAGCAGTAGCAACGTGATTGCTGCAGCAGAAGACGTAGGAAAGAAGGTAGACAAAGAACCAGAAGAAAGGTTGTGAACCCGCCGTTGCTCCCCCAGCAAAACATTTTTTGTTGCAACACGACTCCAGTCTTGGAGGCGACGAAACTGAGCCCTTGGGGATATGTGTGGTCAGTGGGGTTCGCTTCCCTTCAAACCCCAGGAACAACAAGCACCACGCTGTGTTGGTGTGTGCCTTGAACACAGACAGCGGCGTCGATTGAACGAGACGGCCAGAGAAAATCGGTGGTGTGGATATAGGTGGCATTGGAACCTGCTTTGGTTCTGGATGGCTGTTTTGAGTGTTAGGTATCTAGTACTGTACTACGCCATCGGCAGTGGTGTGGTGAAAATAGTGGTGGTGGTTGTGGTGGTGATGATGACACGCCAACTGACGACAATGAAGGACGAGATGTGTTGTTGATGTTGCTGTTTCGACGTGTTCGACCTGATGTACGCATACAGCAACGAATGTTGATGTTGTAGAAGTGGTTGGCGTTCAAGTACGTTGATACTCGTGGTGTGTTGTAGGCAGGTAGTTAGATGGAATATGTCCGTTCACGTTCGCTTTCTTTTTGCCCCGAAAGTACATTGCTTACTCGTATTGTGGTAGACAAGCAGGCACTACATGGAACACCATCGCCCACTCTACTTCATTTTCTCGCTCGTTTCTGCAAGAGAAAGCGACGCATCGGGTGTTACGCTGTTTCCCTCCTGCGTGCAGCAGGCAGGCCCGGAAAGTCGGCGGGAGTATCTGAGTGGTCCCCACGACAACAAGCCAGAGGCCACTGCTCTTTCGGGGCAGACGGACGATTCTGTCAGAACATCACACAGATGGACGATCCGTGACAATGCTTAGAGCGGATGCGGTGAACAAGTGATACTTGACGCGTTCATCATCGAGCTGCTCGAAACTGTTCGCCTGCTGTTGACCTGCCTACATCTTTGAACTACAAGAAATAGATGGTCTGTGCGGAGATGTAGGGGGTCAAGGACATGCCAAGGACACAGTTTCCCGTGCAGGCCAAGGAGGCAACGTATATTGCAGATGTGTTCTTTGCGTCAAGCTTGAAGTGAACGTGGGCAAACGACTCCTGTCATCATGTGCTTTTGATTTCTTTTCGATGGGACTCGTGACACAATCGTTTTGAATGTTTGCGTTTCATCTCCGATACACCCCCCCCCCCCCCCC